CTTCCTACCTCTGTCCTCCTCCTCTTCTCTCTCGCTCCTCCTCTGTCCTCCTCCTCCTCTGTTCCCTCCTCCTCCTCTCTCCCGCCTTCCTCCTTCCTCGTCTCCTCTTCCTCGTTCTCCTCCTCCTCTCCCTCCTCCTCCTCTCCTCCTCCTCCTCCTCCTCTGCCTCCTCCTCCTTCCTCCTCCTTCTGCTACTCCTCCTCCTTCTCCTCTCTCTCCTCTCCTCTCCTCCTCCTCCTCCTCCTCCAGCGTCTGATGCTTTACTGTGTTTGTTTCTCTCCTTTACAGACGATCGGCGCTGCTTTCGTTGCCAAACCGATCCAGGTGGGAGAGAAAGTGATCACTCTGGGAATATGGGTGAGTTAGAGGCTGCGTGAGAGTCGGAGCTGCGGATCCGTCACATCATCGTCTGCAGGAAACTTAAAGATATACACTAAAGATTAAAAGAGCCGACAGTTTAAAAACACACATGAGGCAGTTTATCTGATGTGTTGCTTCTCGTTATCTGTACATTAGACTTTAGAAAGGAGAAAATAAGCAGTAAACAAACACAATAACCAGAATAAAACCAGGAATCAGAGGTTTCCGGTGTGAGCTGCGGAGTTTGTCCCACTGGGGATTACACAGCGTTTAGAGCCGACATGGGACGGGACACTAATGGTGCCGAGAATATAGAAGATCTTTCACATTTTCAGAATAAAGTCTAAATCCAGAGAAAGATTTGTTTAAGAATAAAACTGAAATGTGAGAATAAAGTGACTCCTGTGTTTGTGTTTGTGTGCTTAAAGAGAAATATTCTCCTTCTTACTGAAGTTCTCTTTCAGTTCTTCTTCACAGGTATTTCATAGAAGCATCCATAACGATACTGGTTTGATTTATTCTCAAAACTCTGACGTTTATTCTTTATATCTGCCACTAATACTCTCAGCTCTGAGGCGTTAACGTCCAACAGGAAGCAGTTGTTTGTGTTTTACTGTGTATTTCCTCCGTCTCACTCAGGACACAGCTGGATCCGAACGCTACGAAGCTATGAGCAGAATCTACTACAGAGGAGCGCGGGCCGCCATCGTCTGCTACGGTAAATCACTGTCCTGATCATCTTTATATCGGAGGCCTTTAGTAACAGCTGGACTCATTTATTTACAGCCATTACTGCGATATGCACTCTTAATGTTCTGCACACAGTAAAAAATGCAATAAATGAAACAGAAATAATAAAGTAAACTGTGTCGGTACTCAGAAACAGATAAAAGTCTATAAATGTTTGTATTCGAGCAGCTTCCTCTCATCAGTGACTCATTATTCGGCTTTATTGACGAGGAGATTGAACTGAGGAATAAAGCGAGGAGAGCGAGGAAGAACAGCCGCAGTACGATGAGGCTGAGAGGAAGCGAAGGAAAGGTTTAACTGCAGGAATTGATCCTCCGCTGAGCGTCGAGTTCGTCCTGAATGTTCGTTTGTTCCACAGAGAGGAAGTGTGTCTCCCAGCGGATTACTCACAGCGCGTCATCTTTTATTCATCTTCTCCTCCTTTACCGCCCGTCTTATTTGTCTGCTTTACTGTTGAACCTTTACAGCACAGATGAAATATTAAACGTTGTGTTTCAGATCTGACCGACAGCAGCAGCTTCCAGCGAGCTCGGTTCTGGGTGAAGGAGCTGCAGAACTGCGAGGAAGTAAGAGAACGTTTCCACTTTAAACGTAATAGAGATAAATAAAGGTTGAGGATTATATTGTGGTACTAACACACTAATTCAGTATGTTTTATCTGCTTTATTGGGGGATTTTCTCTTTATTTTTGCCCCCTGGAATGTTTTTAATCCTGTTTCGGGCCGTAATTATGTGTTTCTATTCGTCTCCAGCACTGTAAGATCTACCTGTGTGGAACCAAGAACGACCTGGTTGAAGCCGATCGCAGCATTCGTCAGATCGATTACCACGACGCTCAGGACTTTGCTGAAGGTATTCACAGTCTCGCTGTAATGAGTCTCTGTAAATACACTGATATTAAGCAGAGGTCAGTTGTTACAAACGTACAGAACTCGGACTAACAGACGCTGTACATCTTCCTGTCTGCACTTTTAAATGTGGTGTGAAGGTTTAAAGAGATCCTCTAGGTCGTCACTTTAACTGCTTTTGTTGTTTTTTGTCTGTATTGTCCCAGGAATAAAGGGCTCTCTCTCCTCTCTCTCTTCTCTCTCTCTCTCTCTCTTCTTCTCTCTTCTTCTCTTCTCTCTTCTTCTCTTTCCTCTCGTTTGCCAGCGTCTGCAACTGACCTCTTAACCTCTCTGTTGTTCTTTGCCTTTCAGAGATCGGCGCCGCAGCATTTCGAGACCTCCAGTAAAACAGGAAATAACGTGGGTGAGTCACAGCTTCAGTCGTCTGCAGGACACATTTAACTCTCAGCTGAGGAAGTGGATTCACCTCGAATCTCTGATACTGAACAATATGGACACAACAAACACACCAACGTTGGATAGTTATATAAAAGTGTGTGTCAGTAGAGGAGAGCTCAGAAACTCAGTGTAAAGCCGTAAAGCTCAACTGAAATAAGAAAAGTCGCCAAAGCTTCACAGGAGGTCGCGAGACTTTCTTGATCTTAAGGTTTGTAAGTAAACATAGAAATTATACACAGTAGGCTGATATCTTAGTGTTTCATTCATTTATGTGAATGAAACTAAATTAAATTGTTATTTTTAAAGGTTTAAATTATTATTTAAGATCTGAACATGAAGTTATATTGACAGAACTTCACTGTCTGATAAACAGAAAAGAGCTAAATAGAACAATGAATCTGTCCAAAAGAGTCTAATAAGTCTGTATGATTGTTAAAACATTAGACAAACTACATAATAAAGTTAGAGAATTGTATAAAAAGCTACTTAAAATATCAGGAAAACTTTTCAGAATCTGTTAAAATCCATTCAAATCTCAGTTTTACACAAACGTGCTGCAGTTAGAGTTCACTGTTATTGTTATACATTGAATATAATGTGAAATACACATAAAATAATGTCTCTTAATGATTATTACTTATTACTCGCAGTGACAGCTGTTTGTTGCCTTCACTGTTGCATTCTGGGATAAAGGATGAAACTTGTTTGAACTCGCTGTCGGCGTGTTGTAGATCAGCTATCAGGAATGTGAGCGGACTCGTTTGTTATCAGGTCGCGATGAATGAACTGATGCAAACTGACGACCCCTCGCTCTTCCTCTGTTTCACAGATGAGTTGTTCCAGAAAGTCGCCGAGGATTACAACAGCACCGCCTTCCAGTATATGAGCGGTGAGTGTTTCCTTCACCACACTCAGTAATTTAAAATATAACTACACAGCGGAGACGACACACAAAGATCAAAACTATCTTATCTGCTCGGCTGCAGTCACACAGACGGGTGGTAATGACCGGATAATGTTATTCAGACTGAAGACTTTCACAGTGAAGCAGATATCGACAGCCTCCACCTACCTCGGCCAAACTGCGCTTCATTGTATTTTACAATGTTAAAAGGTTTTATTGAAGCATTAAAATCTACATCAGAAGTATCTATGGACTGTCGTTAGATATAAACTCATTATGATGGACTAGGTTTCTCCTTTAACATCAATAAAATAAAGCCTGATACGAATATTACAGCCACATTTTGAGGTAATTTTTGAGGTTTGATGGGTTTGTTTTCACTTTCATAGTCTGGCCTGAAGTTTTACTTGCCACAAAACAACATTTAGTCTTTGTTGTTGTTTAATTAGTGCCAGTGAAGTTTCTCGACATGCCAAATGACACTTTTTATCAGCCTCGGTCTCAAACTTGTGTCAAACACGTAGTTGGAGTTTAACTCACGTCCTCGAACGCCAACAAACTGAACTCTTCCTGTTTCCCTCGCTAGAGCTTCAGCTCATAAATTCAGTCTTCTGCCTGCGACTGCAATTCTCAGCAGAGATAAGAAGGAAGCTCTTTTACTCTCATAATCATCTCTGGAAAAACGTGTGTCATTCTCTTTTATCATTTGCCAGAGTTGTTAGATCTTCCAGTTTTATTCCCCCCGACAACTCTTATTGTTGAGGTCTGTGATTGAGGAGATTTACAGGTTCTGACAGAAGAAAGGGAAAGGGCCAGAATAAATAGATTATAACTGGCAAAGCGGTGGAAGTTAATGTTGTGTCACTTAAATATGAGACTCAACAGTGGTCCTCGAATTGATCCCTGGGGAACGCCACAAGTGAGGCGGAGCAGATGTGAAAGAAGCTTCCAGATGCAACGGAAAGATTTCTTACTGCACGATTTAAATAAAACTAGTTCAGAATAAGTCCCTTAAAGGCATATTTAGACATTTTAGGAGCTTATTTATTTGAAGATGAGAACTCATGTTTTTATTCTACATATGAAGCTACAGCTGGCAGCGGATACAGCAGCACTCTTAAAGGTCACTAATTAACACGGTTTGTTTAATCTGTACAAAAACCAAAGTGTAAAAACAAGTAATGTGTTAATAAAGTGTCTGAGAAGCGGTCGTCTGCTTCCTGAACTGATCCCAAAGCTGCTAAGTTAAATATTTTGAACATAAAGTCTCTTCCTCTGTTTCAGCAGAGGAAACCGGCGTCGACTTGGGCCAGAAGAAAGACTCATATTTCTACTCCTGTTGCCATAACAACTGATGCTGAGCAACCCGCCGAGGGAAACAGACGTGGTCAACTTCCCTCCGACTGAAATAAAACCTGGAAATGCTGGATGGATAACTCTGATCCAAGGAAAAGAAATGAAGCAGGAATGTTTATACTTTGTTAGATAAGTTTGTTTCTTTTTGTGCCATAAAGAACTGAAGAGGATCCACTGCTGTCTCGGGCGGGTTTAAAGCTCCTCGTCCAGCTGTGTGTCGTGTTTTATCCTCTCATCAGCTGTTCCTCTGAGCTGGAAGTGAACATATCCCCAAAGCTGCAGTGTCAAACAATCTAAAGCAGGTGACCTCTGCGTTGGCGAAGGAAAGCTGCGACCCGGTGGACTCGATCGAGGCTGATTGTTGTTGTAGCGGCTGCAGTGCTTCAGGAGGGTGAATGGGTTGTTTACAGCGTTTTTGTTTACCTCCAACTTTATTTAATCCTTGTTGTGAAAAGTCTACACGAGAGGAGTGAAGTAAAAACACTCCGGTGTCACTGAAACGAAAAAGTCAGGAATGAAATGATACCAATGATCTTTATAAAGGCCTTAAACCCGCAGTACAAAGTGGCTTTATAGAGCAGTAGTTCTCAACCTCAGATACCCCCTTAATGAACCTAATGCTACTTCTGGTCCGGTGCTGGTTCTGGTTCCGGTTGCTGGTTCTGGTCCGGTGCTTGGTTCTTTCAACGTGAACCCTTCTAAGAACTGATTTTCCACAGACTAAAGAGCCCACCGTTAGACGTCAACGATGCTACTTAATTTATCGTCATTGTTTCCTCGATTGTAACATTGATGTGAGAAATGAGTTGCTCACTAACAGCTAATAAATGCACAGCTGGAACCGGTTCTGGCTCCGAACCAGCGGACCCATGTTTGATTAGACGTGGTCTCAGGGAACCCGTCTGATCAGATTGAGTTAATCTACAGTACAGAGAGTTATTATGGGACAACAGTTGAAACTTAGAAACTTTTAGTCAGTGAAATAGTTAAATTAAAACCCCCGGTTGAGAACAACTCTTCTACAGTTTTGGCTCTTCAATGTTTACCACAACTTTTTGCCAAGTGACAGCCATGGATGTATTAACAGAGCTGGATGCGGCGCCTCCACTCCGCCCTGCTGCCCCCCCCCCCCACCCCAAGAGGCTAAAACTGCACACAGTTAATTATTATTAATCCTTGTATAAAGAAGTTTTAACCAAGAGATAATGACTAATGGAGTTTGGTTTCACACCGTCATGAATATATTTCGCAGGTGCTCAAATATAGATTTATAGTTCCTTACTTATATATAAATAGCTGCCACACAATTTGGAATTAGAGAGTAATATAATAATAATAATAGATACAATTTAAGGTCTGTGAGAGCTTCGAAACATTCTTTTAGACAAGCTTTTAATTTTACACATTTACATATTTGTACAGTCGGTCAACAGCCCTCAGTATAAAATATTGTGCCATCAGAAGATCAACACGTGAAACATCAACACATCAAAGCAGCAACACCGAGGAAAACTGGTGTCCGTTCGTTTCCTCATCCCGCCAACTTGTAAAAACAAAAAAGGCAATAAATTAGTGAGTTTTTGAAGTTAAGATAGCTGTAGAGGTTCTGAGGATCACGGAGATGACAGTTTGTACCTTATTACAACAATTGGTTTCTTTTCTTCCTGCGTTGGTGAAATCTGCAGTTTTCAACACAGCGAAGGGGAACTTTGATCTTCTCTTAAACACAAAACGTTTCACCGGCCGCAGAGACGACCGAAGGAAAAGCCGACGGTCAATCATTTCCAAAACGAGTACTTTTTGCAATTTGAATTACAAAATAGAAAAATTTAGAAGATTTAATGCTGAAAAGTGACCCGAAGGATTTTCCGCTTCAGTCGGCTGAAGTCGTGAAACTTACCAACCACGCTTCAAATGGAGCTTATTGGTATTTAGACAGAATGAGCTTCAGCAGCAAAAGGTCCGTCCACTATGGTTGCATTATTCAGTGGTATACTGAACTTCAAGGTGCACGCGCTCATTAGTGTTTCTCCCCCATGCTGGCCCCGCCCACTTCATTACATCAGCATGACGTCATGCAAATAAAAATAGCTTTTTCGGGACTCTGGGGTGAATTTCATAAATATAAACCTCCGTG